AAAGCACAGTTTCACACGGTTCTGCACTTTTATAGCAATACTTGCCATTTAAAGAGCACCTTTAAAATCTGTTTATAGTTATTTGGTTCATTCTCTCAACAAATTTCTCTCAAGTTTGTTTTGTACTATTACTTTCCTAACCTAAAGTTCCTGGCACTGCTTAGATTAGAAAAATGAGGGCTCCTTGCTCCCACTTCCACATTTTACACAAGTCCCTGAAATAATCTAGATCTTTTCACTGTCCCAGTTCAGGGAAACTGGAGTATGGTCTCACCCCAGTGGCTGTTTCTTTTCAGCTACCACCAGTGAAGCTTGCAGGTAGAAAAACATGAGAGTATGTGTATCTATGCTTTTAGGGAGGTGGAGGTGGGGTGGAGGATACAAAATTGATCGAGATGCTAGCCCAGCACTAATAAGCCAAAGGAGCTAAGTTAAAAATCAGTATTGAAACATTCGTGTGGGTAGAGGGTGTAATCAGTCATCTACTTCCTTAGAGTGAAGTCTTCCCAGGTTGGTGACACTGATAGAAAATTTCACCATGTAAAATCCAAGCTGTGGAGGTTGGTGGTTGGAGTTGATGGGTGATACAACGTTTATAAACAGTACTGCTGAGGAAGACAGTAGAGGGGTCTGTTGTGTCAATTCAATAACACTTAAGAAAAAAAGTCTGTGTTAAAGAATCCCTCATCTACCCATCCACTTACTAAAGGGATTGAACATGTTAAGAGCCATCAATGCTCCATCCAAGAAATTCCAGATTGATATTTTTCCCACTGAGATTTCCTTGACTGTGAGGCCTGTCACCTTTCTCCACTGTGGGAACTTTGTGAAGACAGCCTTCATTTTCTTGGATAGGCCACAGATGGGAAGGTGGATGGAGGTGAACAATGGAGAGCCTGTGCCTCATGCAGGGCCGGAGTTTATAAAGCAGGATGTTTGAGTTTGCTTAGAAATACTGGCATTCTATACTCTTTCACTTATTCTTACTCAAGTCTGGCTGTTATAATTTAACATTTATCAGGCAACATTAGTATAGGCTGAAGAAATCTCGGCTTCCTAGTATGTTTCTGCTTACAGTTACCTCCTGTCATCACCTTTGTAACAACTCAGCCTAGAGTCTGTATTGGTCTTGTTCTCTGATCCATATGACAGTGATGGCTGAACAAGGGAACATTCCTACACATTTATCTACCAAGTTAGGGAACACTGTGGGATAGTAATATATGTTCTCAGTTTATCTTCCTTGCAATCTAGTTAGGCAGGAAGAGCAAGGTTTATTTCCATTTTTCACCTGAATAAACCCAAACTCTGAGAATAACCAAGTCAGTGTATGTTCAATTGCTGGGTATGTGACATTGAGCAAATCACATCATCTTCTCAGGCCTCAGTTTCCTCCTCTGTAGAATGGTGCAATATTTTTATCTTGTTTCTGTGAGGATCATGTGGGATAATGCAGGAGGAAACACCTTTTAAATTATTCCAAAAAGGGTAAGAGAGTAAAATGGTTAGTTATGCTGGGATTCTTATTTTTGTCTGTAATATACCCATGTTGCAAGGTTATGAGAATGGACTTCATTTTTTACCCTTTAACTATTCTTTAGGTTCTGGAGCTGCTATCGGGCTCACACTATCTGAATATAGATCTTCTTGGAAAGAGTTAGGCTTCTGAGAATAATCACATAAATTTACATCTAACTTTTCATGGATTCTGAAGAATTTGCCCATCTCTCATTTGTTAACACCATGCTCCATTTTAGGCATTCCATCCATATCTCTCTGAGAGTCTTTGCTGCTGTTGCATAAAAGTGATGCAGGCACTGATCTTAAAATAGCTGATACCAGTGCCATGTTTTTAGTCTAAATAAATAATATTTATGTCAGGAAAGAGGAATCCTTGTGGCACAGTGGTTAAGTGCTCGGCTGCTAACCCTTCTGAGGAAGAAAGATGTGGCAAACTGCTTCCTTAAAGATTACAGCCTTGGAAACCCTGTGAGACAATTCTAAATGATGTCCTATAGAGTCACTATGAGTTGGAATCAACTCAACTGCAATGAGTTATGGGTTATGTCAGAATCATAGAATAGCAAAAACACCCAGTGTTAATGTCCATTTCAGAAAGGATAAATTGTTCCTGCATGTTTTGTTGTTGTTTGGTTTGGTTTGGGTTTGTTTTTCTCTATAGAGACCTTTTTATTAAGCCATAAGAAGGACAAAGACAATCATCCACAATGAAGGTAACATCAGCATGCAGACAGTAATGTTGTTGATGTTGTTATGTGCCCTCGAGTCCGACCCAACTCATAGCGACCCCTCCTTAGGTTTCCAAGGCAGTATCACTATGGAAGTAGATTGCCCCATCTTCCTTCCGAGGAGTGGCTGGTGGATTTGAACCGCCAGCCTTCTGGTTAGCAGTCAAGTGCCTTAACCACTATGCTACCAGAGCTCCCATGTAGACAGTAAAGCAGCCAAAAAGAGTCTGCAGACTCATGGCCATGGGGCTAATTATATATGACAGAAAACAAAGGAGAATATCACAAAATCATGATTTATGGCAGATCAGTTCATCTCTGTTGCGGGCAGGACTACAGAAGCAGGAAAATTACCATGATTGGGATATGTACACAATTGAAGATTAAAAGGGTTACAGGATTGGTTCAGGGACTTGACCACTTGGCTATATGGTGATCAGGGTATGACTAATGACCATGTGGCACTGAGTCATAGACACAAGGGGGCTACAAGACAGTATCAGGACCCCAACTTTAACTTACATTAGATAACATATGGCTTTTTTCAATCAGGACACATCCAGGCAAGTTCTCTAGTTCTTTGTGTCAGCATAATCTATTTTCAACCACCCTTTTCCTGAGAGCAAACTGCCCCTCCCTAGGTTTCCCTGGACTTGTCTATGCAGAGCCACATGGCTAGATTAATGATCAGAAAGAACTCAAATGACATCTGAACTTATGTCAAGATTCAAAATGAAGTTAGGGCTCCCGCTATAGACTACAGCCTTCCACAAACCGAGTGCCTTAGAATTTAAGCTCTAATACATCCCTTCCTCTGATCATGGACTTTATTTAAAATCTTTTTATCACACTTACTTTTGTGTGCTTTCTTCTTAATGGACAGATTAATGCCTCTTTTAGATGGCTGCTTGATTTAAGACAAGCTTTTAAGACCCCAGACACTATCTTTTTTGATAGCTGGGCACCATCTAATTTCTTCATCATGTTTTAGTATAGAACCCAACCTTCAGTGATCATTTTATGAGGGTAAGTACAGAGAAGGGCCACAATGGAAGAGCTACTTGGCCTGTGATTAAGCTACAACCTGTAAAGTGGGAATTCAAATCCTTTTGTAGACTATATCTTGTCAATATATATGACTCACTTCATTGGCAGCATATTCTCTTTCTAAGAGATTATGTTAGAAGTAACCTTCATACAATATTTGATAATTCTAATAATATTAATCCTGTCGATAGTATAGTTTAAAATACTAATGAGAAAATTATAAAGGAAAGTTTTTCAATTAAAACACAATGAAAAGTTTACCTACACAAATTATAAAACTTAAATTATAGAACAAAACTACTTCAAAAACATGAGGGTCAGGCACAAAGCAATAATTTCAATAACATTTATTCACTAAGGGAAAGCTATTAATCTACAGAACCTAAAGACATGTAAGACAAAAGCAGTAAATATGAAAACAGATAGCAAATATACTGATAGTCTGTATGGGAAATTCTTACCAGTCAAATAAACCCAAGCGGCCAACATAAAGCAACCACAAAAGCAATAAAGATTTAAACAAAGTCCAATAAATTCAAAGTCTGTGACCTTGTGAAAGTTTGTCTGCTTTTGCCCACTAGGGCATTTCATTTTCAAGTCCAACTGAGTGCTTTAGTTCCTTTAATCTGTGACAAATGTATTTTAAGGTATAACACCTTTGAATTCAGCTGTATACGGATTGGTAAGGAGAACAATGTTTGATGTATTCCAGTGAAGTTCTAATGAGTCTTTCAACTGGTGTCTCCAATATATTTTGGGGTGAAATCAGGTAAACTTGGAGATCAAAAGCTTCTCTCACCTGTGAAAAATATAACACTTTTGCAAGACAGTCTAAAGTGCAGGTAGCCTAAGGCATGTTACCTCCTGAACATAAAAGCAAGGAAAAACATTTGGTTAAGGATTGTCAAAGATACATGATTAGCAAGATAATACAGGAGCCAGTTGGGGGTCTTTAGTTAATCTGTTTAAAACATACTAAGATGCCTTGCCCTTGTTTACCTAACAGTCATGGATCACCTTCTCAGAAACAGAAGTGGCACCTAAGACAAAATAAATGCAGTCTGAGTCAAACCTTGTATCAGCTATTTTAATTAGGTTAAGTGTTCTAAGATTTTGGGGTTCCCTTGCATATTCTCCCCTCTTCTGGTCAAGATATTCCATAGAAATTCTTAAATCACATCACAAGAGTGTCATCTCCTAATTGGACACTCTGCTTCTGTGATTTTAAATTAATATAAGTGCAGGCAAGGTCACACTGGAGTAATCACTTGGTTTCCCAAAAAAGGCTGACTCAAGGTGAAGTCAATCTTTT